AAGATGTGAGGACCTGTTGCACATAAACAGACTGGCTCGGTGATCATCACAGATCCCATAATAAGCGTTGTGACGTGATGTGGAAGTTATCCAAAAGACATGTATTAACATTCTGAAGTATTGTCTCTTCTGAAGCAATTAGTTTTTCTACTTTGTATTCACCCAAATATTATAAAATTTAGGCTGTGCATAAGGATATACTTAACTGATGTATGTAATTGCCGTAGAATGCCTAATCTTATAAGATACTTTTTACTTTGGAATACAGCTTTTAGTTTATAGTTTTTCTGATATTATTGCTTTACAAATTGCCGGCATATTTAATTTTTGCACTAAGGATATAAATGAACACACCTATAAGAAAGTATAAACCGCACCGGCATAATGTGGTTGTTTAAAGCACGTTACGATGTACTATATTAAAATTAACTGATATAAAATGATTTCTTTACTACCTAAATGAATAAGAGAATATCTTATCTGCCCTAATCGGTTTAAGTTTTTCCATATACATGGACTACGTTAAAAATGCATAAAATTAGAGCTTCATATATTGTTTGAGCTGAAGATTCAAATGTTCGAATTTAAGTATAGCCGACCTGTTCGACGTCGTAATGATCAAACGCTTTAAAGCACTAAATAAAAGGTTTAATTATAAATAATTTTAATAAAAATTTTTTAATTAAAAAATTAATCTTAATAGTTTTTAATTATTGTTTTACCCTTCTCACATAAGAAATGCACATAAGAAATGCACATAAGAAATAGATTCCTGCGAATGTATATTCTTACGGAAGAGGTAAAAAAACTCTGTAAAGTAGATTTCATACTACTTTTTATTGACGCAACAGGACTTAGAGACCTACTCTACATGCCTATCAATGATAATAATTATTGTTTTAAAAACAAAAATTAAAAATAGACATCAATTAATCTATATGTCAATCTGTACTTCTATATTATTAATAAACTAAAATAAATTAATGGATCTACAATAGTTATATCCATTTGTCTGGTTGAGGCAAATAAAACCTACAACACGGACTTTTGTGAATAGATCATTGGCATTTGAAAAATCTTGTGCACATGTGGAACCATGTATGGTGTTCGTTCAGATCTAAAGTTATATTTCAGCCAAAATTGACGATGGGTTTCTGTGGTGCTTTTTGAATGCAATGCTTTTTTTTATATTGTCTTGTAGTTTGTTGTGTAAGTAAAAACTTATTACTACATAAATAATTAGAAATTTTTTTAAACTAATTTTTACGCTACTATGTTAAGGTCGTGACCATTTGAAAATGCAATTTGAATTAAGCTTTTCAATGCTACATGATAATTAGTGAATTATGTTATTGCACTAATGTGAATTGTTAGTCTAAATATTAACAAAATTTAGTTTTTAAATTGATATTCATTGTCATTAAACATCAGTTATTTCCCTTTAAAAAGTAACGTGGTAAAAAAAATTAGTAAAATTAAAATAAAATAAATAAAATAAATATAATTTTAAATAATATATTAATTAATATTTTTAATCAGATAACTTTTTTGCTCTCAAATGCACTTACGGGCATTTCTAAAACGATTTTTCTTCTAGCTCTCCAAAGATTATACATATATCGAACGAATAGGGATAAAGAAACTTCAATCAATAGTATCCTTTTAAAAGTTACGAATAGTTAGTCCCGTTTTTAGCTAAATCTTAGAAATACGATGCATGAGGAAACAATTTAAAGTCGATTGTTTCAATTTAAAGTCAATTGTCATTGTGAAGAACGTCTTTTGACTTATGTCTCAGAAAAGAGCAATTATTTTTCTCTGTCCAATGCCGTGATTTCGTCCTTAAAACGCGCTAATAACCTAATATAATATTGACTTTTAATAAATTTTTCTTTTTTTTTTTCGTATTTTATGATGTATTGTATATTACTGACTTTTCACTTTGAGGCTGGAATAATATTTGGAATATTGCACAAGATCAACCAAAAATGTTTACAAGTGGCATTAAAAATTCAAAGACGACAGATAAAGCGTTGAAGAAAAAAGTCGCTCTGAACGATCATTATTATAAACATTATCATTTCCAAACATCTTATTTATCAGCCTATTAAAAACAATTACTGTTAAAAATATGCTTTTCATATATAAATATATTAAAGCCTGTAATTTAGTCAATAAAATTTAATTTATAATATCCGAGCTGAAGGCCCTGGCAGCTAGCGATCGTTTTTCCTACCTTAGTTATAAGAATTTATATTTTGTAATTATATGCAAACCTCTTTATAACGAAGTCGTTGGTGCCTACACAAAACTTCGTTATAGGGAGGTCTTCGTTATTGAGAGGTTGAACAAATTTTTTTTTGTTTGAATTTTTTTCCTTTTTAGCTTTTGACTAAGAAATATGTACGTATTTATTTTAAAAATATATTTAATTCATGTTTATTCATATATATATACAAAACATTAAAAACATTAATTGTATATTGGTAAGTCTGTAATTTTAGTTTGTTCAGACACTTTTACTTTTTCCTTATTAAGGAAATCTTCCAAATCCAAATCTTCTAACAAGTCAATAGTTTGCATATAAAGAAGTTTCTCATATGTGAAAAGTTGAATATTTAACTTGTATTTGAATGAATTCATTATAGAGAGGTTTTTTTGTATGCAAAAATTTGTTTGCATACCTGAAAAAAACTTCGTTATAGAGAGGAATTCGCTATAGAGGGTTTTGTTATAGAGAGGTTCTAATATATGAAAATCGCTATCTTCAACAAAACTTCGTTATAGAGAGGAATTCGTTGTAGGAAGGTTCGCTATAGAGAGGTTTGGCTGTAGGTTTAATAAATAAAAAAAAAAATAGAATTACTGCGCGCTTTGAAAACCATTCCAATAATTTACTTTAAAACTGTTTCCAGCATTGGAAATAACATTAGCGAGGAGTACTTTGAAGAGGATGAAATGAATTTATATTAAAAAATTTAAAAGTTATAAATAATTTCACCTGAGTTTTTGATCACATTGTTATAGTATATAAATTAAGATGTAGTTCTGAAGAATTAAATATTAAGCACTATGTAGTGAGTTATACTATTTACACTATTTTCCTTATCTCTCTCAGTTATCTCTCTCAAATAAAGCAGAAGAAATTAAAAATCATTCACCAAATAAAATAGTTATGTCGGATATTATAATTATTATTAATTATAATTAATTATTATTTATTAATTATTAATTATAATTAATTAAACGTCATGCTTTGCATTTACTTGTATCTTGCAGCGTTTTAAGATTCTTAAAATAAATAAATTAATTTTAAATTAAATTAATTTTCACTTTCATTTAGAATTGTAGACTACAATAATAATAATAATAATAATAAAATTTTATTATTTTGTTAATTAATTGAATTTTCAGCTGACGTGAGCATACAGTTATTTCATCAGTGGTTTTGGCATTATTTCCTATATTTAATTATTCATGAATAATTTTATGAGACTGCAAGTACCATGTATTGAACTCGTATCTAGCCAAATTTGAAGCTCAGAGTTAGTGTTCATTAGGCAACTGACCCACAGCCGTACCTGACTTGTATGTTCGAATTTTGAGTTTTGGAGTTTTGGAGTTTTGTTAATTTGCTGTGAAGATTCATTAATAAATACACTTTTCATTTAATTCTGTTTCGGGCAGTACCTCTCTATTGAAAACAATAGTTTATGTTAAGAATTTACTTTCTTTCTTCAAAACGAAAGTAAATCAATTTAATAATAATAATAATATCAATAACAACAGCAGTAGTAATAGCAGGAGTAATTCATTATACTTCTCATTGCATTTAATATTTACTTATATTATATACGTGGACATAGTAGATATAACTATACATTAGAATACATTAGAATTTACAAATTAGAACAATAGTAGCAGTAGCAGTAGCCGCGGCAGTAACTTTTGTGAAATAAAGAAAAATGAGGAAATTTAAAAAAAACCCAGAAAGTAAATAAATTTGCAGTTAAAATTAATTATTAAATTAAAATAATTATTTTCTGTTAAGTATCTAAATGGTCAAAGATGTATAAGTACGTGAAAATTTAAACAGCAAATCTCTGTATTTTGATTAGCCAGTAATTAAAAATCTATGGTTGCAAGTTAAGGAAATGGTGATTGGTTCTACATAACATAATAATGAAGAGTCATTCCAGCTTTTAAAAAACTTAATAAGTTTTATTAACATTCATATATCTTCTTGTGCAGTACATCAAGTCTGCTTTGCAAATAGTAGCGATCGAGGCGACGTTCCATTGAAATATTGAACTGCCTGGCAGCACACGCGAAAATTACAATTCATCTCTAAAATATGTGATTCCGAATAAAATTTTTGAAATGAAAGCCGAACAGAATCAGAGTCATTCAACGGTCGAGAAGAGCGGATCCAGTGAAATGTTCGTGCAAATTGCAACGAGCAAATAAATAACTTTTAAATATAAACTGTATCCAAACGAATTCATTAAAAAACAACAGGAATTTCCACTTATATCAAGAAAAATCTAGCCGTCACATTGGGGGAAATTGAGTAAAAGGGCGGAACATATGCAGAAAAAAATTCAATATTAAAATTAGTAATTCGCTCAGTGAGAAAACTGAGAAAGAGGAACACTGTTCACGGTAGTTGTGGAAAGCGCTCTGTTGTTCTACTTGACAATGTATCTCCTCACATGGGCGAAGCGAATCGTCGAGTCGAACTGAATGTGGAAATTAGTGTCCCAGTGATTGTGAGGGTCGAACGATCTGAGATAAAACGTGTGCACTGTTTTAATATTCATTTTTAAATTTTTAGAGCAACACTTATGTATGTGCTGCATATTTCTTAATATTTTTTATTTCCACTTAAAAAAAAAATTAGTACCATTTGGGTTCTCACAGAGAAAAGTGTATGTATTTAGTTCAATGTGTAGAAAAAATAAATAAACAGAAAAAAACAACAGGAAAATCAACATAGGAAAAATGCTTGTAATTGTGACCTTGCTGCTAAAAAATCTACCTAAGAACATAAAATAAATACTGCAAATCTTGTTATTGTCTTTAGATTTCATATAAGTGACTTGGATCGGATCGCTTCTTATTGCTCTTCAAAACAACGCGAAGGTGTTCCGGAAGTTGTTTTGATGTTTGTAACTATGATTTAATATATGTACTAAACATATATGTGTGCAATATCTGTGCGAGTGCGAACAAAATTAAATATTCTCAATATATATCACATTAGGATATACATGTATAATTTGGTATTGACATAAATAAAAGAAAGCTGGTAAAATCTTAAGCACCCGGCAATATTCAACGTCGAAAGTGGACACATTATTTAAATGAAAAAACAAAAAAAAACTCATTCATTACATCCGGTATATTATTAATAGACAATATTAAAAATTTATTATAAATGTGATGAGAGGATCGAAAAAAGGGAGAAGATCGTAAAAAAAGTTGTGTGCTTGATGCTCTATTATATCATTTATATCGATTAAAGTATCAGGATATAATGAAAAGAAAATATTAATAATTATAACATTAAATGAGTAACAAAAGTTCTAACTAAAAGATATCATAACAGATCTTTTTGTCTCTACCCCCAATAGGAGATTATAAGTTTAAAGATATAAGATGAACAACAAAACTATTGAGAAATTGGGGCACTGTAAGTAGTAGATCTTAGCTTATACTTTATTTAAAGAGTATATCTATTTTAAAACAGGAATAACAATAACAAACTGAGTTACAATGCCAAACGATTAGAAAAAATATATGTACCCTTGTTACTAAAGAGACTGTTTTGATTTTAAGTTAAAATTTGATGTTAAGTTTAATTTAATGTTAAGTAAAATGACAATTTAAACTTATGCTAATTCTGAACATTTGATATTACAATACTGAAAGAAAAAGAATTGATTCGATACAATCGATTCTTCTAAATGTAGGAATTTTTCTAAGTTGAAACTACTGGTAGTAAATCATCGATAGTTTCGACAATCTATAATAGGTGACCATATTTGCAACAATAATAATAACTATAATCATGTGTGCAACTATAACTATGTCTATAAAAAAAGAATTTAAGTAGTGAAATAGTGTGTCTACTGTTTTCCTCTCATATGAGATGTGACTATAATATGTAATATATCAATATATAATTAAATATAAACAGATTTTGTTTATTTCAAATCTAATACGTATTGCAATCATCATATAAACTGTTTTCTTTTAGTATTATACAAACTATTCAATTGTTTTAAAAACTTATAATAGAGACAAGCTTCGTCTAAGACTAAAACTCGATTTAGGTAGTACTACCGTTTAAGAAGAAGAATCTTTTATATCACTATTCATCGGTTTTTTTAAAAATATTTAAGCATTTCGTTAGTAAAAGCATTTCGTTTCAGTATTTGCGAAGCACGAAAGAAGCAGGCCTTTTTCAAGCTGTCCCTCAAAATAGAAGACAACTAAAGCTGGTATAGAAATTCACTTTGTTAAAATAAAAAACATGGTTATATCACCTGAACGTTATTCAGACAGACGAATTAATACTTGAATGTATTAAAAACTTTAAATTCCTTGGTAAGAATAGAGGAAAGGTTCTAAGCAGTCAATATAAGTTTTATGGACTTAAAATAACCTGATTATGAAAAATCTATCCAAAAAGATTAAAATGAAAACACACTATTGTTAGCAAAAAATAAGGTGAAGTTTTTAATTTAAAATACGCAATGATATGTCACTGATATTTGTTTTAAATTTCCTGTCAATATCTGCATTTTTTTTTTGTGCTAACGTAATATTTGAACCAGTTCCAATCATTTTAAAAGATGTTTTGTGCCTGAAAACAGTGACATCTCATTTAGTGCCAAAAATCATCAATTTATTTGGAAAAACAGATAACGCTTTTTGACTATTACGATCAGATGAAATGCATAATGCCTAGAGATGAGATTTAGATCTATGCACAAACTAATTAAGCAAATACAGTGCAAAAGGTGAGCCAAGACAGAAGAGATCGTAAGAAACCGAAGTCGTTCCAAATCAAAGGTTGTGTTAAGAGTTTTCTTAGATTATCGTGGTGCGGTGCATTATGAATTACTTCCAACGGGACGAGCATGATTTATGTCCATTATAAAGCTTTTTCGATCAAATTTCTTGGTAAAGCATATTTTTGACGATTTCTACTATGATTGCAGTAAGAGTAAACACAATTTAGCTTAGATTATGAACAATTAGTTACAGGGATAGGGATGTTATAGCCCGAAAGAGAGTGTTTAGCGGCACTTAGTTTTCAGTGTTGTTTCGTACTTCGGATACGTTTACTAAGACGATTGAAACTTGTTATATTAATTGCTGAAGATTCTTTTGATTAAAGTATTTTTAGACATTTTAAACTTCATAAAGTCTATACATTCTATTATTTTGTATATAAGTAAATATACTTTATTGTCTATTTTTAGTGAAAGTTCTCATACAGTGTAGGCAAACACTATTAAATACTCATTGTTAATAAATAAAAAATTAAAATGTATTCTAAATCTATTATTCTATTTTAATTATTTTTAATAATTTTTTTATTCTAATTGACGTAACTTTTTTTTTTTTGCAGGATTCACTTTCCACTCGCAAAAGAACACAGTAACCAGCAGCTTGTAATCTGCACAACGTACAAAAACAGTGTTCGATTTTAAAATGGAATCACCACTTATCGTGCAAGCAGAATATCCTTTCAAAGGTGGTAACAACGATGAGTTATGTTTCAAAAAGGGAGATCTCATTACAGTTACTCAAAGAGAAGAAGGAGGATGGTGGGAAGGTACACTTAACGATAAGACTGGCTGGTTTCCTAGCAATTACGTTATAGAATACAAAGTGCCTTTAACCAAAACAGATACAATGAGACCTCCAGAAGAAATACAAGAATATCGCTCTGTAGTACTTAAGGATTTGCTTGATTCAGAAAGAGCGCATGTCGCTGAAATTGAGGGTCTGTTAGAGAATTTTTTACAGCCTTTATTGGAAACAGAAATGTATGTACAGTTTTTGTTTATAAAATAATTTGATAACAATAAATTTATTAAATTTATTAAAAAATCAAATCTTATAGATTGACGCAGGATGAATATGTTCAACTTATGTGCAACTTTGTCGATGTTGTCAATACACATAATGAATTACTTTCTCAGATGGAGGAATGCAATGATCGTATTGGAAAACTATTTTTAACGAAAGCACCTTTAATGAAACATGTGCATCAAGCGTATTGTGCTGCTCATCCAAAAGCGATTGTGGTATTAGATAAACATAAGTTAGTAGCCGTGCAATATAAAATTCTGTGCATATACTGTATTGTAATTTTTCATTTCATTAGAGATGAGCTAGAGAAGTATATGGAACGTCAAGGCGCTGCTACTCCTGGACTTCTGGTATTAACAACAGGACTTTCAAAGCCTTTTCGACGGCTCGACAAATACTCGGCTATGTTGCAGGAGCTAGAACGTCATATGGAAAGTAGTCATCCAGATCGGGGTGATACGCAGCGAAGTGTAGCCGTCTATAAGGATATTGCTGTTAGTATTTAGTATTTATACGTAACTTAATTCTTTTACGTATAGTGAACACTTTTTTCTAAAACTTATGGAGAGAAAAGGTGCTAATAGAATAATTTTATAAATTTTTTTTAAGGCCACATGTTCAGCTACACGTCGACAAAAAGAATTGGAACTACAAGTACTGACTGGTCCTGTCAGAGGCTGGCAAGGTCAAGAACTCAGTTCTTTAGGTAAGAATACAAAATTAAGTCTAAAAAAACTGATATAAATTAGTTTGTTTCTCGCAGGTGACATAATTCATATGGGCAGTGTTGCTGTTGGGTTTGATCACCGTGATCGCTATTTTGTATTATTCCCACAAACACTCTTAATTTTAAGTGTCAGCCAAAGAATGAGTGCTTTTATATACGAGGTATATATTTATATTTTAATTAAAATATATTTCATCGTTGTAATATAACTTTGCTTTCGTTTATTAGGGAAAGTTGCCTTTAACGGGTATTGTTGTTAATCGTCTTGAGGATAGCGATACTTTTAAAAATGCTTTTGAAATAAGCGGAAATTTTATTGAAAAAATTGTTGCTGTTTGTCAAGGTCCGAACGAAGCAAACAAGTGGGTGGAACTGTTAACATCAGCTAACCCCACTATACCAATAGGCATTAAAAGGCAGCTGAGCAATTTAAGTAACTCATCAGTCAGTGGAGCTGCGCCGCAACCACCACCACATGTATGTCATTCATAAGTCAATTGATTTTCTTTGAAAAAAAAGGCACAGCATAGCATACACAGTTATACACTCTTAAATGTTGTGCTGTGACTTTTTTGTTTAATGATATTTTTATTTGTAACATTTTTTGATTTATAATTTAATTTAATTTATAATTTAATTTAATTTATAATTTAATTTAATTTATAATTTACTCCACTACAATATGTTTTCGTATTCTACCAATACCATTACTCTATTTGACAAATAATAATCAATTACAATAACCTACTGCATCGCAGATATCTCATTTCTTGGATACGCGAGGCTATTGTACGCGTTTCTCACTTTGCGCATACTATACAACGCCTTTATCCAATTCATTCCGCGTAACATTACCGCCCAGTAATTATCCACCTGCTGCGCCCTATGCTAACTTGAGTGCACATTTTGCAAAGCTTGTTAAAGACGGCAAACTGTACGATGGTATTGTTAAAATGCTTTTGTATCCACAAATACGTCAGAGTATTGATTTGAAGAGCATTTTAATGAGAAAAAAGAGGAGCCACAAAACCACTTTGACGCTTGCGAAAGAAAAGTGTAAAAATGCGAAAGCCTATAAAGCAGACGATTCAAATATTTCAAATAAATCTGAACTAGAACGGCAGGATGCTTTTGAATTACCAACAGACTCTGAAAGTGACAGTGAAGATATTTCTTTCGGTTCTAAAGAATGTGGTGATTGTATTTCGAATCCATTTGAATATGTAAAATTTTATACAAATAAGCGAAATTCGCTCTATGACTCTTCTCAAACGTTTATTGACTATGGATCTGCAGCAAATACTTTGCAACATGGAAGACACTGCTCGTCAATAAATCTCATAAATTTTGATTCATCTGGTGAACGTCAGTCATATAAACCAAGTTCAGAAGACGCTGATAAAAAATCTATTATTATAGCATCAAATGCTGTTCGTATATTATCTCGCAAGTCATCCGGACAAAATTCCATTATCCATACTTCCACTGCTCATTTTAATTTAAAATCTAATGCTGCACTCAACTTCGGTAAGAAAAATTTTGAAGGAGTGTGTGCACGCGCTGGTGACTTTCAGTATCAAAACTCAGATCTTTCGCAACCTTCTTCTGACTATAACGAACGTCTTGGAGGTGCGTACTTTGCTTGTGAAAATTTAACTGAACTTTCTGATGAAACTCGAATTCATATTGGCTGTGATAAAATACCGGAAGTTCGAGAAGATCGACATAGCATGCCAAACATTTTTGTTAAAAACAGTTTTCAAGGCGATTTTCCATTGTATAGAAGCCAAGATCAAATAAATAAGAGATATACTGCAACGAGTGATGAAATACATTCCAGTTCTATAGATATTCCAGCAGCTTGTCGTTATGCACCAGATAACTTACAAACAGAACTTTTGTATAATAGTGGTGGAGCTCCAAATGAAGAAAAAAATTTAAATCTTTTTGCTGCGCCGTTCACATCCAACAAATCAATTAAGAATAGCACTACAAATAATATGCCATATGAGATATGCTTTGATGATGCATCTCTGGAAAGAATGTATGGCGAACAGAAAATATCGAACTCATTGCGAAATTCTTCAACAGTCGAATTATGTATTGACCCTAAAGATACTCTTCATAGTTCTACTTTGAATGCTCGGCCAAACTCATTAAGGCGCTGTATAAGCTACCAATTTGTTGACATAAGTAATAATGAAGATAATGAAAGCAAAGAAGGTGTCAATATGAAGACACCATCAAATAATAACAAGGAAGCTGAAACGTTTCGAAAATTAAATGAAAAACATTCTTGTGTATGTAAATGTTGTGAAAGTTCACAGTGTCCAAGTCCACGTTCCAGTGATTCTGGTATGGCTGGAAGCTGTACAATCACCTCCCCAGATCCACCAAATACAATTAAACCATACAATGACTACGATTTTACGGATGACGTTTCTTATATGTTACCATCGTTTTCAAATTGTATGGACTCAAAGCATTTTGAAGTTTGTGGAACGTTTCGTAAAAAATTCTTTCCTTTAAGAACGCAAAGCCTTGTTGACCCTGAAGTGCAACCGTTTATTGGGACGGATACACAAAGGGCAAATGCATATCCTACAAATCCTAATATTAGTCCATTTCACTTGAATTTGAAAAAACTGCCAATAAACACAATTGAACCAAAAATTTCAAGTTTAGAATGCCCCACAACATCTGCCGATGATATTTCTAATATGTTTTCACTGCCACTGACAAGCAGATCAGAGGACAATATAATAACAACTCAAACATTTCGATCAGACTTATATGCACATTGGTGGAAAAATGAAAAATTACCAATGGAAGTGGAACGGGGTATCGTATATACTCATCCAAGACATGTGACGATGCAAAATTCGCAGGGTAGCAAAGATGAGAAGTGTTCAGCCTGCACCAACTCCTTATATTCAATAGAGGCAAGGGGATACAGTGAAGGAAATACTTATTGTTCTATTTGCCAAGATTGCGCATCGCTATCAAGTATTGCATATCCGACTACGAATACCACCAATACAACAACAACAACGTTGTCATCCAATAATTCACTTTGTGAGCATAATCACAGCAATGATAACATAATGAATCCAGCAAGAAAATTGGTGACAAATCGTTCAAATGAGTGTCCAATATGTTTGAGAGTTTTAGCACAAGTAGAGTCCTTGGATTCTGGAGATATCGCTGTTGTTGACAGCAAAGTCTTCAATGTCAATACCGTTGCAGTTGGAGAAGGCAAGCAAACTAAAGAGCGTGGTCGTTTGAGCATGCTCTTGTTTCATAATATAGTTTTAAAAATAATATTTTTTTAATCGTATGTTGCGAATATGGCAATTTTCTGTTTCTTCATCAGCATTTTAAAGTTCAAATTAATCGAAACTGTTACTAACTTAAAAATTAGAAGAGAATTCATATGCTTTTTTTTTAAATATATGCTTAAATCTGATATAAATTATTTTTGATTTACCTCAAATCTAAGTACTTTCAATATAGCATTATAGAAATCAGTTGAAATGCTTTACGTACGTCCATCATATCATATGTACCCCATATTATCTTTATGGCATAAGAAAAGTTAAATTTACACATTTTTTTATGCTTTACTATAACGTCTCAAGTATTTTTATATATTTCTATTATATTTCTATCTACCATCTAAGGAATTTATTATTTAAGTAAAACTGGAGAGATCTTGCAGAAAAATAGGACTTCATATACCAGTGAGGAAAAAATTTAAGTTATTGTTATTTGTTAGTCTTTCAAAAAATCAGCAAGTAACACAGCACCGAAATAGGAAAACAATTATTGTAATAATTAACTATTATATATTTATATAGCTGTGGTTTATACGTGTGTTCTAAAAATAGTAAAGTGACAAAATTGAAATTTGAAAAAAAATCGATTTGGTGATTTGAATTTGACAGATTCAAAGTGCTGGTCATGTATGTATATTGTGCTGCGAGCATCACAATGTTCGAGTATGTTTGTACATTTGGTTGGGGGTCAGCAAAACGCTCGATAATATTTGAACATCATAAGGTCTCCAAGTATCTATTGTTATACATATTTGTATAAAACAAAAAATTAAACATAAAATGAAATATAGCACTAATTTGCTGTTTGAACATTTAAAGTATTTGAGGCAAATGTTCGAATTCGAGAATATTCGAGCTGCTCGCACATCACATTGTTCTGACACTTTTAACCATTAATTGAAAAACTTTCCATTTTTAATACTCTGAATTAAGTTTAAATTAAGTGGAAAATTCTATAACTACAACAAATTGCTTAAGGTAATCTAATGTTATTTGCATTAATTCGAGATACTCCAGAATACATATTCGTATTGATTTCAAAACAATACGAAGAGATGTCATCAGCTAACGTATCCATATCCAAAAGAGATTATGTGATTGATAGAAGTTCAAGAAATCGTGCTTTATGTCACATTGCAACATACTAAATATTCTTATATCAAAAATGCTTTTACCAAGTGTTCGTTGGCCTTCTTTTGACTGGCCAAAAAAAAGAAAGCTGTGTGTTGGCATGATTACGCTGGTGACTAATTTTATTAGTATTTGTTTAGAAAAGAATTTCGTTTTGTTGTCAGCTTGTTACTTCATTAAGTTCAATCATTTGCCTGCCAAAATTTTTAATTATGTCATATTATTACTATAACATATTAACAAAATTTGGATTTAAAAAAATATTAAAATTGATTTTAAAAGAAACTCGATCAAGAGGAAATTCAAACCATGTTCACCACAAACCACACCGCACTCTTTTACTGCCTTGCTTGCGCTTTTCAGCTGTGACTGTGGATACATTCACGACTAACTGCAGAAATGTGTCCTTTTGTTATTTTCAATGTTCAATAAAAACAATACCTTATATTTAACCTTTTAAAGTTATACTAATTAAAAGTGAGATAAAAAAATTTAAATATCTGGTTAATTTTTTTTATTAATAAATAATGGTTATTTTATATTTTTTTCCACAGATATCGCCTCCAACGAACATAACTCTTCTAAATCAACGGACAAATCAATCGACACCACTGACAACAACGACCTCAGTTGCAATGTCACATCAGTCACAACACAAACGGAGTCTATCGTTCAATCACCACTTAAGCTACAATCAATACACGCACACTCAGCTTCCACAACTTCTTCATCATCAGCAACAACAACCAAATCCACCAAATCATCCAGTGCCTCTAAACCGCAAATCAAATTTAGTCCAGACATCGAACAATTTTTCGAAAACTCAAAACCCAAGCACGGTGGTAACAACAGCAGCTCCAACAATAACAACAGCAAACGCAAGGACAGGAAACACAAAAGGTTTTAATTAAAATATAATAAAAAAAATGCATTAACAAATATATATTGAAGCAGTCATAGATTTCTCATCTGACGTCTTTCACTTTTAGTAAAGCATATGTTCTTTTATTTTATTATACCATTCTCCATTCTCGTATTCACTTAAACAGTGAGAATAACTTAACTTGCATAGCAGAAAAGGATGGGGAAGTGATGAGATATAATATAGGAGTGAGGATATGGGTTGGGTAGGGAACGTTAAACTTAACCTGAGTCCAGATGATGCAATCTCCATTGTCGGTGTATTTTCTCTATAGGGTTTTAATTTAGCTATAATTGTTACATCTATATATGTTATAGATGATCTTATGTTCTTAAGTTGTATTGTTCTTAAAATTTTTTATTAGTTCACAGCGAACAATTTTTTCTACATAAAATCAATAGAAGGACTGTAGCATTTTTTGGTCATATATATGAAAATGTATTAATATCAAATAAACTATATATCTATGGACCCTGGTATTTAATGAACGGCGTTTTCAAATCATTTCATAAAATTTAGTAGTGTTTAAAAAAATCTATGTACCTACATATATATAACATATATATATTCTGTTGTGAGAATTAAGAATGGATTTCAAACAGTGAAATAATTTTTGAAATAATAATTAATAACTTGAGGATTAGGGAAAAATGATACATTAATAATTAATAGTTATATGACAAACTTAGCTTTAATAATATTTACATTCCAGGAGTAGCAGAAATTAATATTCAAATAAATTTATATATCTCTATCAAAGAATCCATAATCGCTTTAAAATTAAATTTAACTGCTCGCGTTTACTAAAGTAATAGGTTTAATAAATAATTCAATAATTTTTTTATTTAAATAATAATTTATTAAATTAAAGTAATTTTTTTTGTTTTATAAGTAATTTATTTGAATTTGTTTTTGCTGAAAATAAATCTATTTTTTTTTAAATTTGAAAGCTAATTGGAGTATTACAACTTTACGTCCAGCTCCACCATTGCGTCCAAGTATATATAATTCAAATGCAAGTAATAATGTATCTGGTGGAAGTGGAAATGGTTCAGGAAGTGGGAGTGGAGGTTCCACCGGTTTATCAAGTTATTGCAGTGGCCGTAAAAATCAGCCAACTTTTGAAGAGGACGCTTTGGTGTTGCGTGTCTTCGAGGCGTATTGTGCAGCTTATCAGAACAATGCACGCAATACGGTGCATTCAGGTAAGAACACTAACTATGTATATATTATAGTAAGGATTATTTGTTGGTTTCAGTAGTTCAATGGTTTATTATGATTGCTTGATACTGTTTTGTATATTTTATTTTATTTGTAAGCACTGCTTAAACATTTGCTATTCTTATTGTGTTCCTATTTAAATATTTTAATATTTTTGAATTTTCTTTTAAAAACTATTGTATGGTTTGGCTCTATCCAAATCGAAATGGTATTAGTTTACAGATGAATTTATATACCTCATTTGTTAATAGAGTATTTAAGCATTATTGTTTGGCGGTTTATTTAAACAAATATAATGGCTTCATATTTGTGCACCTGTGCAATAAGTATCTCTCATTTAGTTTAACTGCTTTTTGGTAAAAGGTTGTTTATGTTGTATGTTATGTATGTATTGATATAATAAATTCTGCTGTATATTACAGGTTTGAAATCACTTTCACTCTTTCGCTAGTTATAGTAGTTCTTGCATTGATTTAAAATTTTGAGCATAAAATCAAAAATATTGATAAGGTCGGATAATAGTCGGTGTATACATAGTGGTAAAAAATTACGGTACTATAAATCTACTGTTTTTACGATTTTGAGATGAGATCATATTGCGCAGTGTGCCCTCATCGGTGGGGTCCAGTTACAAATATATTTCCATGCTAAAGTGGCAGAGTTGTAGTGCCGCAGGTTTTTTGTCGCAAGTGTGTATTGGCAATAAAGTGTCGTTGGAATAAAAAGTTTATTTAAAATTTTAATGTTTTATGTATGTTAGCTGTGGTTTTGAAATGATAAAATGTAGATGCAATGTATGCATTTAAAAGAAATTGATTTTAAAAATAAAAAAATAAAAATCCTGAAATTGGATTCTCGGTTACTCCAATTTATTATTGCATTTCAACCACATGTGCCAATTTTTAGGTTTTTATTATTATTTGTGAACTCTAATTATATATTATTTTACTTATTTAGTTAGTTTTTTTAAGTAAAGTGGCTAATCCACTACACAGATGTGCATTTTGAACTCAATTTTGTTCTGGGTTTTTGTTGTATACTTATATTTCCTTAACATCAATTATTAATGTCAATTATTAGACATGTGTAAACGCAAGTGGTTGTATCTCACATTTTTGAGGTTAGGACCTACATGTATTTATTAAGTAATCTAAAAATATTTGCAAATACTAATATATGCATTCCAAACTCATATGTATTTGTTTCGTGAGATACTCGCGCCTCATATACTCATATACTCTGCGAAATCCGTAAACATATTCTAATTTTTCTTTTTTTTGTGCAAATTTTCTGTTTCTTTATTGATACCATCTGTTGTGTGATATAAGAATGTATGATATTATGAGTTGTTGCCGTTTCTAGTACAGTAATTTTCTAGAGCACATTATTGAAGTCGTATATGTTATAATTGCTAATCGCGTATTAGTCCTCTATTAATCAGGGATATTGGCGACATTTACTTAAAAGGTTTATCTTTTTGAATAAAATACTATTAGCTGAGCTTTTAAAGAATGTTTACAGAAATATATTGGAGTAGTTTATTTAAGACATAAAACATTTGGTTTGTCATAAAATTTTTGGTGTCCATAACATAATTTTTCTGTTGGAGGTTGTTTAGAGTATAAAAGAAACATATGAAATTTTCCTTAATTGTATTTGGACTCAATATGAATTTATGTCAACTGGTTTATGTTTCTATCAAGTTATACTTAAGTGGTACTTTTAGTAACCTTATTATATAGCTTTTTTATGATTTTGGGTTCTGAACTTAGACTTTAAATTTTAATGGAACTGTTTTAACGATTTTGATACTGTGTTTGTGATTGAGACAAAAATGGAGAGTTCAAGCCTGGAAAGGTAAAAATCGAATAGGAAAAATGAAATTAAAGTTCCATGCCACCTATGTATTGTTGGTGTTTAAAGTCATTCATATTGTTTTTGAGTATCACCCTCTCCGAGTGCCATATTGATGGTTGATACTGTGACCTCATATATTGATTTTTTTACCTGTTTGTTGATTGTTTCAAGTGGTAACAAAGAATTGCTAATGCCTGTATATATTAAGCGATTGACTATTTCCCATTTTTGGTGCGCTTTCAAACTGCAACTCCAAGCGGCGTATCTTTTCGATATAACAATAAACTATATATTATAAGACCTTAGTTCCTTTCTCATTAATTTTAATTATAAAAATATTTATTCATGTATTTGTGCGTTTATAAAACATAAAAATATTTAAATAAAATAATTCGTTTCATTATAGAACATGATATTTGTGAAGTGTTATTTCTGTAATTTTTTTGCAAGATAGTTGTTGTGTTGACATTCTATATTATTATTCACCCAGTTTTTTGGCAAACATAAGGAAAAACCTAATATATATATATATATATATTCCATATCAACTATTGCTATTTAACCATTCTTGATAACTGTGCAAAACCAACTGTACGCAGTATTTAGTCGTCGTAGAAGAGTAAGGTTTCAAAAATTGACGAACTCATTACTCTCATTACTTACATGATGTATATATAGGGTATGCTTTTTTCGTTAGTTCTTAGTTCGAATAATATCAAATTCTTATAAACGCCTTAAAAACAGTCCCTTAACATGACTCTAATACACAAGAAAAATATTAGTATTTAAAGTGACGTTTAAAGTGACATTTATGTAGCAAAATGAAATGAGTTAAGTTGGGGTTCGTCAAATGATAATGTGACTATCAAACTCCAATTATTATTTTGTTCTAATTTTCGAGATATTTTGTAAGTAATTATTTTATTTGTACCGTTATGATTCTAATACATGCAGTGTAAGGCAGCGGTAAGGAGCTGGATAGGTAACCCATTCCATCGTCCTTAAGATTAATGAAACTGCAATGAAGTTGCTGCATACTTAGTTTTTCATAGATGAATAACTTTCAAATGTAGATTCAGTTATTTAAACCAGTTTTTTTTAATATGATGGTTCTATAATGTATTGTATTATTTCCTTGACAAATCTATACCCGAAAATAGTAATAATATTTATTGCATACAAAGCAAAGAATGTGAACAAGCTCTCTCTATCTGGGCTTTCTCGTGTTTTAGCTTCCTGCGGATTCCAGGGGATGATATTGTGTATTTATATAATTAAGTACCTTAGTATTTTGTACCCGTTAAATTCTATCATCAAGTCCATGTAGTATTTTTAAACTTCTTATTGTAAGGCTTTCGAATTAGGCTCGCTTTGCGTCCTTTCATTTTAAAATCCTTATCTATTCACAGTTTAAAAGTTGTTAGACAAATCTGAAGAAAAACATTGCGAGAACACTCCAAAATTTAATTATAGTACTTTTTCTTTATATATTTTCTTTTTACATTTTTGTTTAAAGCAATCGCTGCTGGAGAAGGAACTGCTCCTTCTTTTTCATTTTGTGTCGCTTACAAAATCGCTCTTTCGCCCAAATTTAGTAAATGTTTTAAAATATTTTAGTCAATCCATGTCACAAGCAATTGGTAACCTGCTATGCGGAACGTACAAAAACACATCCCCTCCAATAAGAGAACGATTTTTCGTTCTGTGCAAATTAAAATTAATGATCATCCCAATTTATGTGTGTGTATAGCAATTAGATTACAATAATAATTTAATAGTCTATATAAGTCCATATAATATTTATTTATTTGCTAACTCAAATATTGTTTCTTTTTGTGCTTTCGTTGTTTTGTTCTATTCTTCCACTATTTTATTTTTCTCTATATCTCTCTAAAATCTCGTTTAAAATTATATAGCACTTGAGCGTTGGACACCATGTTTACCAATACGAGGCGGCAAACTTAAAACCAGCAAACTGTTTTCCACATCAAATCCACAACTTCAATTTCTATGTAGGAGTGGTGTTGGTGGCACAACTGGCAGTCGTCAGAGCTCTACGAGTAGTCTTAATTCGTCATGCATATGGCGGGAAGTCAGTCCAAATAATTTTAACTTGTATTCAACATCAGTTTCGTCTCTCAACGCCAACGGTTATCGTAATTCAACTGTTGGTGCGGGTAGTGCAACTGGTGTGCTAAATCGTGCATTCTCTGAAGAGCGTGCTACGCGTAAATCTTTAAATCGTCTGAAAAGTGGGTTTAGTTCTGGCTATGACAATATTTTTACTACACCGAAAATGCAACAAAAAAACATGTCCCCGCCAAGATTTACAAATAATGCTGTGCATCAAGCTCATCTGCAAATGACACCAAAACGTAACTGTTCAATGGAACATACATTTAACAATCCCACAAAAAAAGATGGCTATTCAACGCCAGGTCTTTACGACCGACGATTAAATAGATCATTCGAAACAACAGACTATCGTTATGCAAATTATGGCGGCATTGGTGGTGGTGGTGCTGGTAGTGCTGGTGGTGGTGGTAGTTATATGATCGGTTTAGGTTTTCAACCGACTTCGTTGCGGCGCAGCACACCTCATTTGATAGATCATAATGATTGTGCAAGGGAAGAGCTACTTAATAGTGACGATGCTGATGGAGACTGTGAAAATGATTTTGGTAGGTGTGGAGTCAATCCGTTTGGGAACAGTATTAGTTCAGACAGAAATGCTCGCGATATCGATGATTTTAGAAATGGTCGTAATAGTCATCACAAAGTAGATGGTGATAGCCAGAATCATTCTGGTAGTTGGTGTTGTGGTAATTTCGTTATGAAACAATGGCGGAAAACTAATAATTATTGATTTAAACATAAAATTATATTGCAAAAAATATATGTGGACATTTAAATATATTCAAATGCCGATGCGCTTGTTTTATTACTGCAATTCTTATT